AGTTTGTGAGCTGGTGGCAGCAAGTGGACACACAAAGGATGACAGAATCAAAGCCTGCAGGGACCACGGGGACACTGCTGAGCAGCCGGACCAACCGTGAGACAACCTACCCCTCAACTTCTCTGAACGCGTAAACAACTCATGGTTTAATCCTCTGTTGGCTTTCTGCTAATTACAGGTGAAAACAGTCCTGAATTAAAAAAAAAAAAAATCTGTGGCATGCTATGACTGTCTAGAGCAGGGGTCCTCAAACTATGGCCCGCGGGCCACATGCAAATACAAATATTGTATTTGTTCCCGTTTTGTTTTTTTACTTCAAAATAAGATATGTGCAGTGTGCATAGGAATTTGTTCATAGTTGTTTTTTTTTTAAACTATAGTCTGGCCCTCCAACGGTCTGAGGGACAGTGAGCTGGCCCCCTGTTTAAAAAGTTTGAGGACCCCTGGTCTATAGTCCTGTTCTGCCCAAACTCATTCCCACTACACACACACACTGTTTGTACTTACATGAAACTAAAAAGTGACAGGACTGTATTCTGCACAGTTAACAGAGACCAGTTTAAATACTTAATTGTGAGTACCTTAACTGCATAAACCTAGTAACATAGATGTCATCAATAGAGAAAACATTAGGGAAAAACATCATTTAGAATCATGTTTGTTTGTTTTTTGTTTGTTTTTAAAATATATTTTATTGATTTTTTTACAGAGAGGAAGGGAGAGAGATAGACAGTTAGAAACATCGATCAGCTGCCTCCTACACATCTCCTACTGGGATGTGCCCGCAACCCAGGTACATGCCCTTGACCGGAATCGAACCTGGGACCTTTCAGTCCGCAGGCCGACGCTCTGTCCACTGAGCCAAACCGCTTTCGGCCATGTTTGTTTTTGATTACTGGCTTTGATCATTCTTTCTGGCATCTCAAATCCTTTATGGAATTAAGTACCACATAAATAACAAAACTGATAAATGATATCTTTTTTAACTAAACTCTTTAATCATAACTGTCTGTTAGTAAAAAATAAGTGTCAAAATTTCATTCTTGAATTTACAGCCACAAACGTGGCCCAGTCAGTATTTTCACATATTGATGCTTATAACCAAAGCTTAGAGATCGACCCGCACTACACCAAACTCACGGCACTGCTGTCTTTTCCCACTGGTTATAGTAACAAGTTGAATATTGGCAAGACATTAAAAGTCAGGCTATCCAGTACCATTTTTTATTTGTTTATTTTTAATTAATATTTTTAATTTTATTTTTTCCATTACCATTTTCCAGTACCATCATTTAAATAGTTATTTGAACCATATTGTGATGGAAATCTTTCAAATAATGTTCATCTCCATGACTCCTGTCACACCCATCTTTGAACTTCCCCAGACCCCATTCTTCTGGTATCCAGCACCTGGGAGAGCCCAGCTCACCCCTCTTCCTCTCTGCCCTCAATGCTTCGCTCCACTCTGTCCACAGCCCCGTTCTGCCTAGAGCTGCTCCCACGAAGACTGCCGTCTACTCCATTTCCCCCTTTCACAATTTCTTCTTTCTGACCTCACGTGTCTTGTCATCCCTCAGCTTCCTCAGAGAAAAAACATCAACAGCTTCCCCAGTTGGAAGGAACAAACAACTGCCATGAGCATCCCTGCTTCTCTCAAGTATGTTAGCATCGCTCCCCTGCTGTCACTCAAAGCAAAAATGGCTGTGTAGTCCTGATATAAACGAGTATGAACACTGTATTTTGTACATATATGTGGGCTCAGTGCTTTTATCGTTTAAAAACACAGGGAGAGAAAATACTCGTTTTTTGTTAAGTTGTAGTAGAGTGCTTTTACCAACACTTCCCGTGTATATATTTTATCCCACCACTCACTCAAGCTGTATGACCTTCCACCCAATATGGTCTCTGGGTCACCCACACACTAGCATATTCCCGTCTTCCTTGATAATTAACCAGTTAAAATTGAAACATTACTTTACTGATACAGATGTCTGTATTAGGCTGCTCTAAAAATATATTAGGACACTGCAATAGTTTATATCATTTTCAAAGTGTGATCGAGAGACACCTGGTAAGAGGTCCTTGAGGCCATTTTAGGGAATCCATAAGGTAAAAATTAGTTTTAGTAATACAAAGACGATACTTGCCTTTTTCACTCTCAGTATCTCATGAGGGTACAACAATGAATCCAGAGGATACATGATGATAATGTGTCACTCTGGCAGCTAATAAAACATATGCTTGTATATATATTCTTCTGTTTCTTAGAATTTTCTAAGGTAGCAAATTTAAAGTATAAATATGCATTTTTAAAAGAAATTAACTCAGTGTGTTCTCAGTACTTCTATTTCCTAGGCACAGCAATCTTTGACAATATCTGCTATATATAACTTCATTACTCATTACCATCAAATGAATCCATCGAGTTTAAAGAAAAAGAAAAGGGTGCAGGTTCGATTCCTGTGAGGGCACATAACTAGGATGCAGGTTTGGTCCCCCGCCGTGGTACATAAAGGGAGGCAACAGATCAATGTTTCTCTCTCTAAAATCAATAAGCATGTCCTCAGGTGAGGATTTAAAAAAAAAAAAAAAGAAAGAAAAAGAAACTGAATATTTTAATAATTGACATGATGGGCTCTTTAAAAGCAAAAGACTGCTTTCAAATTAGAAATGAAAAAGCCACTGAAGCATCATACAAGGTAAATTATCCGACTGCACTGGAGCCACACAATAGCTGAGAAACTAATAAAGCTTTGTATGACTGACACTGCTGAATGTCTGCTGGATGAAAAATCAGTAAAAGAAATCATGGCAATGCCACTTATCATTGATGCAGTATCTCATCAAATTAAATACTTTACTGCTAACTGCCTTAAGGATAGTACTTTTGCTTTATAAATGGACAAAGCCATAGATGTGGGGGGACTTACAGTTTTGTTTTTATTATGCCAGTATCCAAGCCAACTAACCATCAAAGAAGGTCTTCCTTTATGTGAATGCTTGGCAACAAATACCAGTGCTGCTGAATTACTCAAAGTATTAAATAACTTTCTGAATCTCATGATTTATCCTGAAACAACATGTTGATATCTGCTCTAATGGTACAAAAGCAATGGTGGACAAAATGCAGGCACTTTCATAAATCAAAGCAGGGATAACAAAACTGTACCAGTAATAATCATATTTCCCACTGTCTATCAACCATTTTTTAAAAACCAGGTCATCTTAACAATGTTTTTGATAAAGTAAAAGTGATAAATTTTATTAAATCTTAATCTTGAGAACTTGGTCTTTTTAACATTCCGTGTGATGTAATGGGAGGTACACACAAAAATCTCCTCTGCTACATACCTAATATGATAGCTGTCTTAAGGAAACGTATGTATGCAAATTGAGTTGTGAACTAAACTACACACTTTTTTCATAGAATACTATTTTTGCTTAAGAGAATGATTGGAAGACGCATTATAGTTTATTCAGACTCAGGTATTTGGCAAACATTTTTCTCTAAAATGAATAAAGTGAGCCTGACACTTCAAAGAAAAACTGACGATATCTGTTGCCAATGATAGAATTTGAGCTTTTGAGAAAAAGAATGGAATTTTGGAAAACTTGAACTCAACACAAAACTCTTGACTGCTTCGCAATTCTTAAAGACTTTTTTTTACTAAATTAATGGTCATATTAATGAATGTAATTTGTTAAATATTGTATAAGCAAATAAGTCGGCATTTGAAAGATCTGCACAACTCAGTAAACCATTCTTTTTTCAAATGACCAATGTCTAATGTTATAGAGTCACATACACATCAAAGATTCAATACATTTTTAATGTTACAGAGCACAGAAATTTCACTGATATAGTTTCAAAGTTAACATTGCAACGAATCTTTAAGAATCTATCACAATTACATGAAAGGGCACTGAAATACTCCATGCACCCTTTTTCAACTATGTATCTGTGTATAGCTGGGTTTTCTTTATATACTTCAAACAAACAACATATACAGCAGACGGAATATAAAAGCAGGATTCAAAATCCGTGTCTTCTATTAAGCAGTGCATTAAAGCTAGTGGCAAAATGTTTGGCAATGTCACACTTCTCATTGTATTTTTTGTTTTGAAATACTTTCTTCATAAAAGTATGTTATTTATGTTAACCTTTAATGAATGTATTATTTTTAAACTCAACACTTTAAACATTTCTCAGTGTGTTATATATTGATAGACATAGTCCACATAAACAAACATCTTCAGGGTCCCCAATAATTTTTAAGAGCACCAAAATGTTTGAAAACTGCTGGTTAAAGAAGAGCATTTGTAAATGTCCTGTATAATAAGGAGGTAATATGCAAATTGACCGTCATGCCCTCACAAGATGGCTGCCTATGACCAGGCTGGCAGAGGGATTAGTGAGGGATGACCAAACAACTGAACAGCAGGCTGCGTGGGGCAACCAGGCCAGCAGGGGGGCCATGAGGGACAACCAGGCTGGCAGAGGGAGGCAGTTAGGGGTGACCAGGCCGGTGGGAGGGAGGGGGTGCAGTTGGGGGCAACCAGGCCGGTGGGGAGGGACGTTGGGGGCAACCAGGCCATTGCAGGGGCCGTTAGGGGCGATTAGGCTGGCGGGGGGGGGGAGGGCAGTGAGGGGCGACTAGGCCAGCAGGGGGGCAGTTGGGGGCAACCAGGCCAGGAGGGGGGTGCAGTTAGGGGTGACCAGGTCAGCAGGGAGGGCAGTAAGGGGTGATCAGGCCGGTGCAGGGGGGCAGTTGGGAGCGACCAGGCTGGCAGGTGGGGGCAGTTAGGGGTGACCAGGCAGGCAGGCAGGTAAGTGATTAGGAGCCAGCGATCCAGGATTGTGAAAGGGATGTCCGACTGCCGACATCCCCCGAGGGGTCCCAGATTGGAGAGGGTGCAGGCCAGGCTGAGGAGACCCCCTCCCCCCATGCACGAATTTCATGCACCAGGCCTCTAGTGTATATATATAAGAGAATAGGTACCTGAAATGAATCAGATGACTTCGGCTCCAGTTCTAGCAGTTCTTACTTGCTTTGAGATTTGAATAAATCACTTAGTCTAAGATCTTAGTTTCCTCATCTGTAAATGGATAAAAGACAAAATATGAAAAAGCAATTAATAACCTACAGGTATATATTACAAGGTCACAAAGTTAAAAGTTTTAAACAGTTTTTCTGACCATATTTTTATAAAATTCTCCCTTAAAATTATTACTAAAAGCATAACATAGAAAATGCAAAGTGGAGATTTTTGATTAACCAATTAGCTCAAATGTCCAACTACATAATTTTATCGTATTAGAGTTCTTCCCCTAGTTATAATTGGTAATGTATAGTTTAACTATATAGCTAAACTAATTATGATTATTTCCAAATATACACAAAGTACAAAAAATACTAACAAACCCCAAGGTACCCATTACCCAGTAATAAAAAAATTTGTCAATATTGTTTTATTTCCCATTTCTGTGTTTGTGCCCATCCTAAAGTTTTTTAAAACAAATATTAGTCATGATTTTACTTTACCTATAAATACTTCCACATGTACCTTTAAAATATGAGACTTTCTTAATATCACTATAATGGCATTAATATGGATAAAAACTTTATAGTTAATAATTCTTAAATACCACCTAATACACACTCCATGTTATAATTTCCTCACTGTCTCCAAAAAAAATCTTTGTTAGTTTTTAGTTGGTTTGTATCATTAAAATGATTCTTACCAGTTCATTTTTAAGAAACACAAAATTTTTAGTAAATGCTAAGAAGGGAGAGAAAATAATACCATGCTTCATATGCCATGTGCAGTTTACAAAACAAAGTCAAGAACTATCTTCCTGAAGAATGTGCTTCTCCCTCAACCAAACAACAGACAAAAATAAAAGAAACCCACGACAATATAGGCCATACTGGTGACACTTCAGTATTCTGAGAAGTAACAAGAAGAGGACACAGATCAGCTGCTCAGGAAGAGACAGAGTTGATAGGAAACAATCACCTGCATTTTGGAAAAGATGAGGTCAGGTCAGTCAGAGGATCAGGCAAGCTGGAGGTCAGGGTCCAGGTTCCAGAGTGAGCATACTGCTCCAACAAGTCAGGTAGGTGCCCAGGGCTGTAAGGCAACCAACCCCCTCCAGGTTTCAACTCAAAACTCAAAAACCAGTGCTTTAAAAGCTAGAGTTGTAATGGAACCAGGATCAAAAGTAACAGTTGTGAGAATTAATTTAATTTACTCAGCAAACATTCATCAAAAGCACACTCTACCAGGTTATCCTAGAATGAGTTGTCTTTCTGTTTTTTTAATCCTCACCCTAGAATTGTTTATTGATTTTAAAGAGAGAGGAAGGGAAATAGAAAAACATCGATGTGAGAGGTAAACATTGATCCCATATGCGCCCAGACAGGGGGATGGAACCCCACAACCTAGGTATGTGCCCTGACCAGGAATTGAACCCACAACCTCATGGTGTATGGGATGGCACGCCAACCAACCGAGTCACTGGCCAGGGCTGGTATTTTTAAATGTATACAGCAAACAATAAATAGCATATACTTCTCTACTTATGTCTTTCCACATTAATCTTAAGGGGAAAAATGAAGATATTTAATATTAATTACCTTGCCATTTACCATTACAATTTATAGTGCAGCTTTTTTCTGAAAATCACAGTTTGTCCCACTTCTCACCCAGACACTGAAACAATCTGAATTTTACTGTTCTTCCCAAATATTTCTGAAGAGCACCTTAGCTTTTATCACACACATCACAGACCCTTAGCATTTATATCTACAATCCTTTTCTAAATGGAATATTTCGTTTAGATGAAAACCAAGGGAATGCTAAAGAATTTCCTACCTCCTTTGAAGACTTTCTTTTTCATAGCTTACCCAAGTGCATCAGAATATACTGGAGATGAAGACTGCATATAGAAAACTTTTTTGAAAGATTTGGTTCCATAGATACACACACAATATAAATCATTTTTTTAATCCCTTACCTCAATTTCACCTATAATTTTTTTATGTTTAAAAGTCCAGAAAGAGTGAAGCGGAGGAAACATATTTCTTTAAGAATGATCGAGAAGTACTTCATAAATGTGTCCAAAAGCAAGTAATCGTTGTTAAAAAATTTTTTAATTGACACTGTAAAGGGCATCTTTTAAACAACAAAACCCAGCAGTCAGGTCCTGCAGTAAGAACCTAGATTTCCCCATTTCAGAACTGACACTTTGCTTCAGGTTACTACTATTTGTAGAGAGTAAAAATCCCAAGTTTAAGGCAGTATTTCCAATGAGACCATTAACTTCCCTACATATCTTTAAGGAGATATAATTAAGCACATGAAACACAACACAGTCCAAATTTACTTTTCGATTCCAATACCATGTGGACAAGACCCAGACAGGATTCGCCCTTTAACCTATTTAACCCGTCTGGTAATAAAGCTGAATAGCTTACTTATGCTGTCTGTACATCTTTGTTTCCTGTGCTGTCATACAAGGTACCATCAAAACAAACTGTCCTTGGAATTTATCCTCACTTTAAAACACTACTAGAGGCCCGGTGCACATTTGTGGACTGGGGGCTGGGGGGGAAGGGTGTCCCTCAGCCCAGCCTCCACCCTCTCGAAGTCCGGGACGCCTCAGGCGAAGTCCGACTGCTGGCTTAGGCCCACTCCCGCGGGGTCCTTAGTGCTGCTGTGGAGGTGGGAGAGGCTCTCGTCACCGCCACTGCGCTCGCCAGCCTTGAGCCCGGCTTCCGGCTGAACGGCACTCCCATTGTGGGAGTGCACTGACCACCAGGGGGCAGCTCCTGCATTGAGCGTCTGCCCATGGTGGTCAGTGCACGTCATAGCGACTGGTCATTCCACTGTTTGGTCGTTTTGCATATTAGGGTTTTATTATATAGGATTGTGACATTGATCCTTAATGGAAAATCAAACGGTTAGTCTAAATATACAGCCCAGTACATCACAACCCTAAGTAAATTATAAACAATGGTATTAACCTCACACAAAAACATGAGACTTGTAGCAAATGGCAGCAAAAAAAAAGTACATAAATTGTTGATGAGGAATTAAAAACTCAAAGCTTATGTGCTTCAATCTAAAAAACGTTATGTAGGTTTCATTTTTAAAAATTGGTAAAGATGAAGTTAATGTGTAGACTTTTATTCAAATTGGTTTGGATGGCAATAAATATTAAGTTATATCATTAACATTATTTATCAGGATATGATGGGCAAATAGGTTATTCACAGAGTAAGTGGGACTGCAACTAGCCCTCTATAATTCCCTGACCCTGATTATCTTCAGAAAACATCACCACTTGACATTAGCTTTTCCATGTAATGTTTACTTGTCTGCTGTCCTCCCATCTTCTCCCACTAGAAAGTAAGTTCCATAAAGGCAAAAAAAATTGTCCTTTTTCCACTCTATGCCCAATTCCTAGAACAGTGTCTGGCACATAATAGATAAATCTGCTGAATGAAGAGATGAATGAATGGCCTCCTCCTTTGACCTCCCTACTTCCTTTCCTCCATACACATGTTAACGATCCTTTAAAACTGGGGTCAAATTCTATTATCCCTATGAAGATTACCTCCCCTAATCCTCCCATCTCCTTCTTTGTACCATGAATTTGGCACTTCCCTGCTGTCTGATCATTGTTTTGTCTTTGCATATGTACATACCTCCATTAAAATTCTTATAAACCTCTCATTAAAGGTATGGACCCACTCCCCCAACTTTTGGTATCCACCTCAGTACATGTAAATAGTAAACCATTTGTAAGTTTTTGCTTGATTGATTTGTATCTGTAGTTAATTTAGAAATAAATTAATAGTTTCAACTTTTTATAACCTATCCTTCCCTTTCCAATAACGCAATTAAAATCACAATGGGTCCCCCTGTATTTTAAATTTGTCTTTGGCAATTTCAAGTTTTACCTGTTCATATAATTATAACTTATGCTCATAATTTATTTTTTCCATCCTTTCTCCCCCCAAATTAAAATGTTTATGTAACAAAAAATCTTGTGACTTTTTGGTGATATCTATCTAACCCCAATCAAGAAAGAGGTGAAGTTTCATTACTCTCTTCTTGTTGCTGAGTGTATAGGAGGATATTTTTCCCTTTATGCCTTTTTCCTGTAATGCCAAGGTGTATTCTATTTCCTTCTTTACTGACCATACCCCTTGGAAACCATATATTTATTTATTTATTTTTTTACCTGTCTTTGGTAATCTCCTTTAGATACTTCTTTTTGGCCACTCCAGCTCCCTCGAATCATTTATTTGATAAAATTTCCAGGTCCCTCCTCGTCTGCATGAGAATGGCCTCTTCTTAAAGCCTGAGCCTGCTTCTTTAAATCCAGCAAACCTTTATGAACCTCATCCCTTCACATGGCCAACCTTTGATTATCAGGGCTAATGAAATGTACAAAAATATCAGATTACCTACAACACACACACACACACGCCCACAAAAAAAAAAAAAATCAAGAAAAAAATGACATCTGGCTTTGGAATATATATCATATGTGCCTTTGGGCAAAATTTAATTTATTAATTATGTTTTTCCTTAAGCCAACATTATTAACATTTTCTTTTATGATGGTGGATATCTGCTTTGGTTTTAAATCTTGATGTAGTTAGTTAAAAAAGAAGTATCAACTGTGATTTTTCCTCTAAAGCCCTTTTAACTAGTTTTTTCAACCTGTTAAAATCTGTCATAAAATCTGGTTTCTGTTTTCCCTGATTTATCTTCTCCCCTTTCTTGGGATTCTGATCCAAATCAACTTTCCTATGTTAATTTACTGCTTCAATTTAAAGTGCTATTTGCTTGCGAATGCAAAGCATTTTTTAAAAATATTAAATGTCCAGGGAAAACATCACTTTTTTTTTTTAAGATATTCCAGGAAAAGTTGGTTTCTAAGATAAACTACACTGGTAATTCCAGCAAATTATATTTAGTAGGATATTATGATTGATTGAAAAAATGAATATTGGACAGCAAGTCAGCTTCATCAATACTTAATCCCATACACCGAAACTATGTAATTAAATTCCAATATAGACATTTGTAGAAAATAACATCAAAACAAACTCACACATCAACCCTGGCCCTTCTGTCCCACAGCCTAAATTCTGTACGCACCTCAGACCTCACCTCTGCTTCACTTCTACACATAAGTTTTAAATGTATAAGAAACAGAACTGAGTTAACAAGATCATCTCTTTTGGCCCCTTTTCAGTTACTGCCATTAAGCTTTTAGCCAGAGACCCCACATCCTCAAGTTTACATGACTATTTTTACTTTACAGGTACTCATCTAAATGTAGGTTTATAGTGTTTGAACTGACTTTTTCATACACTAGCCACCATATTACCAGCAGAATTAAGAACAAATTCATTTTTAATTTTCTCCCATGTGGAACTTTGATAAGTACAAATTATTTTACCTAAAAATCAACTTTTTGGGCTGGTGTAATTTAGCCCAAATTCTTACATAAGATGTTAAATATTACCACCACCCCCAATTTTTTAGACAGCAGTCTTCCATGCAGTCCTCAAACTCAGTCAATTCCATAACTTTTTTAAAAAAAATTTTGCGCAGTGCCTAGTCACATTTTGACTAAAATACCTACATAGACCCATAATTTCTCCGTTTTTCAATTTACTTCTCCAGGTTGCTGCCTTCACCAAACACAGAACTCCACCAGTCTCAAAATTATGGTCTCCCAAGCTGGGTGTCCACCAATGTACATGATTCTCAAGGAAAAAAATAAATTAAAAAGTAACTCAACTGGTAAGAATTCTTTTCTTCTTTTAAAAATTTACCTGCACTTTTAAAATCTCTTTGCTTGTTGGAGTTCAAAATAGTATCAATCCTTTGAAGACACAGTTGTCACCTATGGGCACTCTCAATCCGCCCCATAAAGAGGCATTTTTCTGGCGGCCCAAGAACCCCAAATAGGAGTCATAAGGTCTTTCGTGGATGGCAAATTTCACACACACACACACACACACACACACACACACAAACACACACACATACACACACACTCACACACACACTCACACACACACACTCACACACACCAGAAAAAGAAACATACCTGGTCATTTTCTAAACAGGTTTGATAGGTTTGGTTCACTTGTAAGAGCGGAGTGTTTACTTACAGGCGTTTAACGCAGAAGTGGCAGCCAGAACACTGGGTAAATAAAACCTCGAGCTTTTAAAACCCTGCACCTTCACGCACTTCCCCTTCGGTCGAGGGGCCGGCACACGGCAAACCCCACGGCCAGTGAGATTATGCAACAGGTTCCCTCTCCACCGGATTCATCGCGGGCGAGCAGGGGGTGTGCTTTCTCCCAACAATGCGTGACACCCACCGCTGCAGGGCCTGTGCAGCTAGCGTCTAATCATCTTTTTTAGAATTTTGCCCTATCCGTTCACTTTAAGATCTACCTGTATTTTGTCAAGTTAACTACGTGTGTGTGTGTGTGTGTGTGTGTGTGTGTGTGTGTGTGTGTGTGTGGTGTGTGTTTTAGGAAATAAACCCCAGTTTTGCCTAAATATTTTCCTCCCTGGTGTTTTATGACAAGAAACCACACATGATAAACAGATCTTCGGTTGTCTCCCCGGGCTTTTTTTTCTTTTCTTTTCTTTTCTCATGTTTTAGGACTAGTGTGAATAAAGAAGTCACTGGCACGCTGGGTCCCCCCACATCACGGCCCGGGCCCTCGTTTGGAAAATCGGGGTGTAGGTGGGTGGGTTCAGTTTAAGAAAGCAGCGCCGTCCCCACCCAGGTGGCCTCGCTGCGCACCCCCGAGGCGAACTGGGGATCACGGGGGCCGTCAGGCCGGGGCCCCACTGGGCAGCGTGTTGTGCAGCGGACGCGCCTGCAACTGAGCAGCTTCGCCCGCCCAAGTCCCGCGTCCCGCGCTGGCGGCTCCTCGCGGCCGGACCCGGCGGCCCGGCCCGCACCGCACCGGCCGCCCCCCCCCCCCCTTCCCGCTCGGGCCGGCCCCCCGCCAGGCCTACACCCCCGCTTCCAACGCTCGGGTGGCTCGGGCCGCGGCCGCCCCCGCCTGCCTTCCGACCGGGCGGCGCGGACACCGGGCGGGCAGAGCCGGCGGGGCGCGAGCGCGGCGCCCGCACCGGAGCCGGCGAGCCACCGGGGTCCACGCTGCCCGCGCGGCGGGCGCCCCGAGCCCGCACCCTCCCGCCCGCGCGGCCGGCCCGAGGCCACTTACTTTTGGGGCCGCCGACCTCCCGACTCCCTCCGGGGGAAACGAAAGTTGTCCCGGCGTCTCCCCTCGGTCCCCCCTCGCCGCCCGGACCTGCGAGGCGCCGCCGCGGAGCCCGGAGGGCGACAGCGCTCCCGCTCGCGTCCGTCCCGTCGCGCTGTCCTCGTCTTCCTTTCACTAGATTATCTTCTCCTTCTCTGAGGGGTGGGCGGGGGCGGGAGGCTCAGGGAGAAAAGAGACGTTTGCAAATTTTCTTCACCCCCCCCCCCAAGTCAGCCTTGAGAAAACAATGTTGAAAGGGGTGAAGAAGTTGGGGAGGTGGAGGTGGGGGCCGCGTGGGGGACGTGGGGGCAGGGGGGACGGAGAGGTGATGATAATCGTTAAAAAAAAAAAAACTGCCTGAAGCCCCCCAAACAGGGGTACACAGAAAGAGGGGGAAAGGCGGGGGGGCGGGGTGGGGGGCTGGGGGGAAAAGAGAAAGAGTCGCTGGTCAGGAAACTTCAAGCGCGGATGAGGTCATTGGTTTAAAAATAAAGAGATGGCGTCACTTGAAACCAATCCCAGTGAATGAACTCAGCGGAGCCCGGGGGAAAGGAGGAGACAGGCGAGGGCAGGGCGGTGGGCGCCGGGCGGGGCCGCGCGCCGCCCGCCCATCCCGCGGCCGCCCGAGCCCCCGCGCGGGGAGGGTCGGGTCACGTTCCGCCGCCGAGTTCGGCGGCTCCGAAGCAGGTTCCGCTGGCGCCGCTGGGAGGAGCCGGGCGGCCCGAGGAGGCGGCCGCACGCCCTCCTCCTTCCGCGCCCGCGCGCCCGCCGCCCCCCGAGCTCCCGGCCCGCGACCCCCCGGGTCCGCGCCCTGGCCGCGCGCCCTGGGCGCTGCGCCCCAACAGGTATTTCAAGGGTTCCTCCCCCCTCCACCCCCCGCCCCAAGACCCAGCCAGCGCCTTTCCCTCCTGCTTGGGCTGTTTCCAGCGGCCTCGCCAGCGTGAAGAAACGCAAACAATGATTTGAGAGAGTTACAGTCACTCCTGTAAAAAGTCTGACGAAGGCAAACGGCAGGGCACGGCCCTGGGTTATGAAAGAGAAGCTGCAGGTACTTGGAGAAAAGTCGCGCTCGTGTTGTCAGGCGCTCAGCCCTCTGTCATGCTTGTCGCTGAAAGCCCCCGCATGAATGTCCCCAGCATTATTTTACTGGGCTTCTGTTTTCTTAGACTTGTTTCTATTTACAACTTGAATGAGCGCGAGCAGCCAGACATTCTCTTTAAAAAATGTTTTCTGCATGGAACAGTGCGCAATCGTCTTTAAATCAGACCAGAAGGTCACTGCCCCTGGAGGTGCCAGACCCTGTGATGGTAGCTCTATACACTTGGTGCATTTTCGTATTTTGGATTTAATTACAACAGCTTTGTTTTGAGACACGTTACACACTTTGAAAAACTGGAGACCTGAGGTGGTGACAAACCAGGACTTGGGATCACTGACTAGGACAATCGGAGCTTTATTCTAGTGTTCTTTGAGCATTTGAGCATGGAGCTGCTTCGACTGAGAAGTACTCACGTGGATATCACATAACAAAGATGTGATTAATGACGGAAAAGCACACTGAGAACGGACTGCTCCGGCCAGAAGTTATGTGTAGGAATCATCTAGCTCCTAAAATATTCCATTTGCAATGTACTACATTTGGGACATTGGTCCCTAAAGGCATCTTTCTTGTGGAATGTCCATGTGGACACTGCCTAAGGGACTTCTTTTTTTTTTTTTTTTTAATTGGCTCAAGAACAGAGAACCAGGTTTGGGGTGGATTAGAAAGATAAAACATCTCCATACGTCTTTTATGCCTTTAAGCCCTGCAACTAAAGTGCACTGGCTATGACTGATCATCGTTTAAGGTTAGTATTGGGGTAAGCCTCTGGGAACTTCCACCCATCTTCTAGAGGAGAGAAAGGAGCCCATCTGGAAATGGGAGACCGCTGAGCACTTCACCCAGTAAAAAAAGCCTGAGGGCCAGGGATGGAGAGCCCACATTCTACTGCCTTTGACCTCTAAGACTCCCGCGGAGGGGAAGCAATCTCTCCCCCGGCTCCCTGTCCTCTGGTGGCCAGCAGGTGTTACTGCAGCTTCCATGGGATTGTCTGAGCTCAAGTAAACCTCTGACAATCTAACCACAGACCTGCTGGTTTTAGAACAGTTTTGAAGGGGTAGTTGCATCTCAAGTCTGCTTAGTTGGAGGAGCTGGGATTTGGGGAACGGGAGGAAAAGAGAGAGAATCCTTGTCCTAGAGGTAGAGAGCATTGATCTTGCCTGGTTGTAAGGCACCTTGTGAATATATGGAGTACCCTTTACATGCTGCAGCTTCAGTAGCCTTACTCTACTGACACATCTTGAAACCTCTCTCCTCCTTCTACATCTATACAACAATTATATTGGAGTGCCTTCCTTGTGTAGTGATGCTATGGTAACTATTACAGGAGCCTTCCTGGTGTGTATCATCTAATTAGAAAAACAAGATATAGACTAAAACTAGCCTGGCTGACGTGGCTCAGTGGTTGTGCGTCGACCTATGAACCAGGAGGTCACGGTTCGATTCCTGGTCAGGTTGTGGGCTCAATCCCCAGTGTGGGGCATGCAGGAACCAGCCAATGATTCTCTCTCATCATGGGTGTTTCTATCTCTCTCTCCCTCTCCCTTACTCTCTGAAATCAATAAAAATATATTTTAAGAAAAGAGAGAGTTTTAATAATATTCTATAAATATGTACTTAAGTTAGCAACTCCCTTTTCCAATAGGAAGGAATCATTTTTGATCATTTAGTTTATCCTAGGAATCACTTTAATGTCCTCAAAGCAAGTGTTCTTAGCCTAGGATTCATGGATCCCTAGAGAATACATACCTAATTGGCTTCAGAGGGTCTAGGGACTCCTTAAAATGTTGTGCATATATGCTCATGTGTGTTTTCCTGTGAGTTGGTCCCTAGCTTTCAACAGATTTTCAAAGGGTTTTGTTACATGCAAAATTATTATGACCTACTTTACATTTAGGTATTGGCTGTGTTTTATGGATGGTAGTTGCTGCTATTGTCCTAGGGCTCATGGCACAATACAAATGAATCAAAGTTCTGGAAAGAGGCAAGTTCTGCCTCAAAGAGGTGACACTGTGTTAGAGGAGAGCAGTCCATATTTGCAACAGAGCAGGAGGGAATATTCCAAGAGTTTGCCTCCAAACGAACTTCATGGAAGAAAATTTTTACCTATGTAACATGAGAACTAGACAATAACTAAGACATTACCTGGTACCATCCCACTCATTTTATATCTAGGAAAGTGAAGGTCCAGAGAGGTTAAATGGCTTGCCCCAGGATGCACACGCACACCTAATTAGGGACTAAACTGGGATTAGGAAAGGGTCCCTCAACTCTCACCTGCACTCCCCATCTAAAGGTTTACAAAGAAACTGAACTAAATATAGTCCTTAAAGTCTAATAGGAATTGTGTTTAATGCATTCATTTAAATAAAGACATACTCATTCCTAAGGAAATGGAAGAGGTAAAGGGGTTCAAAGACGTGAAATCCAAGCTCAGAAAAAGATAAAAAACCTCAATGTCAAATTAAGACGTACAACCAAGAAAGAGTAAATATCAATAGTACCCTGTTATCAATGTATAGCGGATCTTTCTGTGGCAAATATGTAAACTGACACAATAAGTTAGAAACACTAGGTGATTTTTCACTTATCAATTCAGCAAAGATTGTTAAAATAGTTCATCTCAGGATTAACTCAAGAGTGAAGAAAGGGGCCTTCTTATTACCATAGGTGATGAGTATAACTGTTGAATGAGTATGAATTAGTATAACTGTTCTGCAGGGCAATTTGGCAGTATGTTTTAAAAATAGACACCCAGAAATTCCACTTTGAGAATTTATCTTAAGGAGATAATAGTACGATTTTATTAATCATAATTTAAAAGAATAGCTAACATTTATTGAAAATTAACCACTTAACCCTCACACTGTCATTACCTCCATTTTACAGTTAACATGCTCAAGGTTGCACAGTACATGGAAGGGCTGGGATCTGAATAGCCTGTACTACACACCTAATTGGAATCAAGGTCATAGAGGCCTTATAAGCTATGCCAAAGGCGTCAGGCTTTAAAGACTCGAGGTAAGCGATGGGGAAGCCACTGGATGATTTTAAGTAGGAGAAATGACAGGATCAGATCTGCATTTTGCTATATAAAGAATGGTTTGGTGGGGAGGACATAAAGCAAGATAAGAGACACCTGTATAAGTTAGAGAATAAATATAAATAAAGGCAGATTCAAAATATAGTAAAAAACTAGAATCAAAAGGATCTGATGACCAGCCACATCTTAAGTGGGGAGGTAGTATCAAGATTGACTGACTCCTAGGTTTCTATCTTGAGCTAATGGGTGAATAATGGTGCTGGTTGCTATGGCAATTGGAAAGGTGGGAAGTTGAATTGTTTTAAATATATTTTTATTGATTCCAGAGAGGAAGGGAAAGGGAGAGAGAGAAACATCAATGATGAGAATCATTGTTTGGTTGCCTCCTGCACGCCCCCTACTGGGGATCGAGCCAGCAACCCAGGCATGTGTCCTTGACTGGAATCGACCCGGGACCCTTCAGTCCGCAGGCCGATGCTCTATCCATTGAGCCAAACCAGCTAGGGCTGGAAGTTGAATTTTAAGCATGTTGACTTCAAGGTGCCTATGGAATATCTCAGGCAAGCATGTCAAACTTGCGGCCGGTGGGCGAGGCATGCGGTCTGGTGGCCACAAGTTTGACATGCTTGCGAGGAATAGATCGTTGCATCTATGTGTCTGAAGCTCACAGACCGTGTTTAGGCAGGAGATAAAGATTTGGGATCCCTTTGGCATATTTAGTTGCAGTCATGGCCAGGGGATGAGATCATGCAGAGAGAGTAAGAGAAGAAAGGTGTTGGGAATCAAGGGAATACTGATATTTCAGGAAGAGAAGCTTACAGGGAGGCTGAGAAGGAGAAACTAGAAAAGCAGTGGACATTGCTGTTACAGAAAGCCAAGAAAAGAGTTTCAAGCAGGAAAGAGCATATTTCCAGTGAGTTAATGCTCAGAGAAGCCCCATTAGATAGATTAAAAAGATTTTCTTTGATTTAGCAATAGTGACTGTGGAGAGAATGGTTTAATCGAAAACAGTCTTGCTTCTACGAGACTTCAGTGAGTTGAAAAGGGAATAAGAAGGAAGAAAATGGAAACAGTAGAATAAAAATTACTCTTTCAAAAAACTTGACTGTTAAGAGGAGAAAAAAAAGGATAATACCTAGCTACAGACAGATGTAGGACATTTGAACCCTACAAAGATCCTAATGTCCTGATAACCAGACTGTTTGTTTTGATTTACTCAAACAATTAATAACAAACAGGTAATAGAGAAGTACTCTGAGAAAGGAGAATTTCTCCGTCGCAATTCAGGAAAATAGCAGATGGACTTTTGCTATCTGTAACCCACACTTTATTTTCAGTATTAGGTAGAACATACATTTGGGGTTTATGTCGAGGTTGTTTTGACCAGTCTTTTAATAACTGTAAAATAAAATATTAAGGATAAAAGAATTATCATTCTAACATGCAGTGTACTCATCTTTCAAAAGGCTGAAAAATTCTTGTATAACCAGAAAAAAATGATGGTGGTAGTAGGAGGGAAAGTAAACAAATGAAAGGCTAAAAAATATTTGTAAATTTTGCTTCTTTTCATGTGATCCTAAAGGAAAATAATTGGAATGAACACAGTGATTCCTTTTTTCTCTGATAAAAGGATATAAGAAAAAATGATGTCCGTTTTTGAATATCAGGGATTTTTAACTAATTTTTCCATTTTCCAAGTAAATATAGGTTTCAAGTCCTCAGTGGCTTTCTGGACTAACAATGACAACATTCAATAACAACATTCGTGTTTATAAACGTAAATAAACATTTACCCTTAGGAACAAACAGTCTTTAACAAATAACTGAACCTCTGTTCAATGTTGGTTAAATAGCAAGATAGGATATTCTGACCAAGTAGCAAACAAGTACTTTTTAATTTTGTGTAAAATCTGTTCTTTAATGTATGGAAGATAAAAGTCTAGTCTTCTTTAGGTCACTGAGTTTTAGAAATATCTTAAACTACTACTATAAAAAGACAACTAGAAATTAAATGGAATTTGAAAATAAACTAATATTGCCATATTAAATCAGATACACAACAATCAGCTCTTTTGTACAAGTTATATACTGGGTTTTTAACTCTTGTATAACCCTAAGAATTAGGTATTATTACCATCTTCCTAATTTACAGTGGAGGGAGTTGGGGCTACGAAAGGTGTTAAAGAGTTAGCCCAAAGACATATTGCTAGGAAATAGCACGTTAGAACCCACAGGAGGTTTTGTTAAGATAAAAAAAAAAAAGTACAAAAAAAAGTACAAAATATATGGCATTCAAAATAACAAAAATACAAAATAGAAGGCATTCAAAATAACATTATAAGAAATCTTAGAATGCACTTCTGTGATGGTTGGTCCAGTTTACCCAGATATGTGCTACAAAAGCTGGTGGAAAAATGAGCTCACTGAGCTGAGACAGGATCGCCGGCTACAAATTCCAGCAACTGGCTGTGTGACTTGAGGGACACTTCGTTTCCTCATCTGTAAAATGAAGGTAATTCATACAAACCATCCAGAGCTGTTGTGAGGTTCAAATGAATACCAAGTAAAGCGCCGACTTAATACATAGCCCGCACGGTAAACACTCGCTGCATACTGATTCCTCCCTTTTTAGGAAGACTGTATAGAGCTGACTTAGATCTTGAACAATAGAGTCAATTGGGATATTAAAAGAGAACGGGGAAACTCACAGGAAGAGAAAACACAGAGACACCGCAGGGAAAGAGTGTTTAAAATGCTTTAACTGAAGCAGAGCATTTGTATTGAATTGTGTATAATAAGCCCGGAAAGCAGTTTGGGGCCAGAGTACATAGGGCCTAAGTCAAATAATTTAGCTTTTATAAATAGCAGGGAATGGCGGAAAATTTGGTTCCTTTTTAAAATTATTCTTTATTGGCTTTCATTTCCATTATAAGGCTATACATGTGCATTACTAAAAGTCTATAAATTACGGAAAAGTGTAAAGTGTAAAGAAGAAAATACAAATCACCTTATTCAATGGTTATCCTTGGGAGAGAGAGAAAAAATGTTATTGCTAAATCCTTTGGTGGTATTTTGATTCTGTTTTTCCTTTACCATGTACATTTATTTTAATACTACTAATAATAAAGTTTAGAAATACATAGAAAACACTAAGCACATTGACATAACTGTTCTTTTATGCAAAGGCTTGCCTTTGAAAAATAGAACTGCATATTTGGGTTGGTCAGGTGACCAGTGAGAGCTCCCCACTGCTAGAATACATGAAATTTGAGCTACACATTTATATGGTACAATATTTGCTCATCTTTATTATGTATCTTGTCCTGTAATTTCAACCTATAGTTGTAACATTTTTTTCCTTTTAATTTTAATATAATAAAATTATTTAATTTAAAAAAATATTGCTGCCATGACACTGTCCAAGGATAGACCGCTGGGGATATTTGGGAGTACCTTCTCCGGTTTAAAGGTTTGGACTTCGAAATGGATAGGATAAAAGTGGGATTTTAGGTGGCTTAGTCTTACCAAAGCATATTAGAAAGGTCTAAGAAAAGGGATCATGGAATAAGATAGACTATATTGGGTGATGGCAACAATTCAGACATAAGTCACAAAGGGCCAAGACTGTTACAGTGGCAGTGAACATGGAAAGAAAGCAACAAATGCAAGAAATAGCACAGAGGGAGAATTGAGAGGAATTGGTGATTCATGAGCTACGGAGGGTGAATAAGATGAATAATGAAAGATGAAGCTAAGGTGTCACCTTTGGCCATTTATATAAGCTTCAATTTCCTCATTTATAAAATGGGGTTAATAATTGTACCTTCCTCATACAGTAGTTCAGAGGGTTAAATGCATGATGTCTAAAATGCTTAGCACAATAACTGGAATGTATTCTCAGTAAGTGTTAGCTGTTACTGCTTTTATAGCTATTGAGTCTAGATGACTTGATTAATAACAAAATTCTTTTTTTTTAGAGTGGAAGATGTATTTTTTCTTATCTAAAGTTTTACATGTGCCTCCTTTTTCCCCAATTGACCTCCCACCCTGCCCCCCCTCACAGCCATTCGATTAATAACAAAATTCTTAAAATAGGAAACAGGGTGGAGGTCTGAGGTTGAGGGAGGTGGGGTTGGCCTCTATTTTATGTCAAATTTAGGTTTATGGTATATAGTGAATTAAAAACGTTCAGCAAGAAGCCACCACTGGCCAGTGATGCTTTTAACGACAGGTACATGCTAGGAAGACTCCATATTCATGAGAAGCAGACATATGGAGAGTAGATATCCACCACAACCTCCATTTACTAGTAGAAATTACCATAACTAATGCGCACTCTCTACATGTATCAACTTCCTGGCTGAATGCTCTCCAGACAGGACAGATAACAGGGTAGTGAAGCACCTAGGTTTTGGAACCAGATCTGTTTGAATCCCAGCTTTTCTTACTATTTTCTGATTTCAGGAAAATTAACTTTCTAAGCTTCAGTTTTCTTGTTTATAAAATGGGATAGTAAAAATTGTCACCTCATAGGGTTGGTTGATGGGAGGATTCAATGAAACTGTTTAAGTGAAATCCTTTAAGTGTATTAATTTCATAAATAAAAGATGTAATGCAAATACCAAGTAATCCTGTCTCTCCTGGAGGTTATGAGTTATGTTTATACTAGAGGCCCGATGCCCCTACCCACCGCTGCAGCAGCCAAGGACCTCTGCTGCGGCCCCTGCCCACTGCGGCTTTGTCCAGAAGGAAGGACGTCTGGTCTAATTAGCATATTATGCTTTTATTATTATAGGTGTCTTCTCCACCCTTACCGGGCCAAATGTGAGAAGCATTCTTTTTTAAAAAATTTATTATTTTTATTTTATTTTTATTTTTTTATTGATTAAGTTATTACATATGTGTCCTTATCCCCACATTACCCCCCCCCCACTCATGCCCTCACCCCCCCTGGTGTCTGTGTCCATTGGTTAGGCCTATATGCTAACATATAAGTCCTTTGGTTGATCTCTCTCCCCTACCTTCCCTCTGAGGTTTGACAGTCTGATTGATGCTTCTCTGTCTCTGGATCTGTTTTTAAAAGTTCATAGTTTATGTTGTTCATTATATTCCACAAATGAGTGAGATCATGTGATTTCTCTGTCTGGCTTGTTTTGCTTAGCATAATGCTCTCCAGTTCCATCCATGCTATTGCAAATGGTAAGAACTCCTTCTTTTTTACCACAGCATAGAATTCCATTGTGTAGATGTACCACCGTTTTTTAATCCACTCATCTGTTGATGGGCACTTAGGCTGTTTCCAAATCTTAGCTATGGTGAATTGTGCTGCTATGAACATGGGGGTGCATATATCCTTTCTAATTGGTGTTTCTAGTTTCTTGGGATATATTCCTAGAAGTGGGATCACTGGGTCAAATGGGAGTTCCATTTTTAGTTTTTTGAGGAAACTTCATACTGTTCTCCACAGTGGCTGCACCAGTCTGCATTCCCACCCGCAGTGCACAAGGGTTCCTTTTTCTCCACATCCTCACCAGCATTTGTCGTTTGTTGATTTGTTGATGATAGCCATTCTGACAGGTGTGAGATGGTACCTCATTGTTGTTTTGATTTGTATCTCTGTGAGAAGCATTCTTTACTAACTGCTGATCACTATGCCCCCTTGACATTGATCTTCAGCCTTTCCCCAGGTCTCAGTTCCTTTGGGAACTTTAAAGGTTGCCCATGATTGTGTGAAATCCCAGAATGGCAAGGCAGGCAGCATCTTTTGGGCAAAATGGTCTGTCAGCCTTTGTTTGGAGAAACCTTTTGTACTATTTTGGTATCACTGGTGTAAGTAAGTTACCACAAACTTAGTGGCTGAAAACAACACAGATTTATTATCTTAAAGTTCTGGAATTCAGGCATCTAAAATAGATCTTGCTGGGCTAAAGTCAAGGTGTCAGCAGGGCTGTGTTTCCCGCTGGATGCTCTCGGGCAGTGGTTCTCAACCTTGGCTGCACATTAGACTCACCTGGGAATCTTGTTAAAATCCTGATTTCTGGGCCTCATCATTCGTAACAAAGAAACAGAATTTCCAGAGGATGAGGCCCAGAAATCAGGATTTTAACAAGATTCCCAGGTGAGTCTAATGTGCAGCCAAGGTTGAGAATCACTGCTCTAGGGGAAAATCCATTTTCTGGCCCTTTCCAGCTTCCAGAGGCTGCCATATTCCTTGGCTCATGGCCCCGTCTTCCATCTTCAAAGCTAGCAACAGTGGGTAGAGTTCTTCTCACATCACTTACCCTCTCTCTGGTTCTCCTCTGCCCGCTTTTCTCCTATAAAGGACCTTTGAGAGGACATTGGGCCCACCTGAATAATCCAGAATAATTCCCCTTTGTTAAAGTTTGCTAATTAGCAACTTTAATTTCGTTTGCATTTTTAATCCCCCCTTGCCATGTAGCCTAACATTCACAGGTCCTGAGGATTAGGACAGGGACTTTGAGGGACCATTATTCTGCCTACCACACCTCCCACAAAGAAAACTTCAGGGAGGTTTGCTCCTGCTTTGGTTCCTCTTCCTTTAAGACCTACCTGATTCACCAAATGATGAATCAGTAATCACAATTTGATCATTGTAACAGTCACAAGTAGGAGGTATTTCATGCTGAGATTGTTGTTCTGGTCTCATCCTAGCTCTGCTTCATGCTTAAAGATATATTGCAACCAAACACAATGAATATTAACTAGCTAAAATTGTAAAAAGAAATAATGATTCCCGTAAATCTTCTACAGCATGTGAAAGAAAGGTTTATCATCAAGCATTAATTTTTACAAATGATATATATGTCCATTTCATTTCTGAGACTAAACCCCCTCACAAGTCCACAATGATCATTACCAATACAGATTTCTTATTTCTTTAACAGAACTCAACAGCAGTGTTTAGCTCCAATTGATGACTAATGGGCAGAAGAGTGCGTCTTAAGAAAAACAGGTGAAAAATATCATGTTGAAAGTCAAAGCATGTAAATATATCGGAGACTGGATTTTTTATTTTAAAGGGTAAAAGGCCATCAGTATTATTTTAGGAGTCCCAGGAGTTCAAACATTGTAGTCAGAAATGGGTAAAACCTCAAGACCTCTGAATTTCACTGTGAAATTCAGCATTCCTGTCTTTTAATTTCTTTTATCTCTGAGGCATACAAATGAAGGTAATTTAAAAAAATTTTAATGGTTCACCCTAATTTTCTAGTGGATAGAAGACTAGCTTTAGTATGTGATTGAAAGACTATCTAGCTTAAAACACAAGAGAGGCTAGCACTTAATTTTTTTTATAATTTGGGCAGGATACTCAAGAGAAGGAAAGGGGAAAGAGCCAACAACTATTGAGCATCTCTCATTGCCAAGCACTGTGCTTACATACCATTATCTCACTTAATTCTCACTACAACCCCAGTAGGTTGGCATTGTTACCCACCCACTATAAAGATGAGAAAATTGAGGCTCCAAGATGTGAAGAGACTCCCCCAAATCCCACAGCTAAAAAGTGGCGGCACTGGGATGAGAGTCCAATTCTACCTGACTCCAAAGCCCACAGATCCTCCCTCCACCATCCTCAACTGCTCTTTCCTGAACCCCAAGTTTCCTCATCTACAAAATAAAGCGGTTGAGTCAGAGGATTTCTGATGCTCCTCACAGCTCTTACTGTATGGCCTTCATGGTTGAGAGGGAGAAAGGGAAATGGGAAGGGATCTCAGACACTAGGGCAAACACTGCTCTCTCCTAAGTGGGAAAGTACTGGGACCCTGTGTCCTAACTGTACTGTAGCTTAAAAAAACAAGAGAGGCTGGCACTTAATTTTTTTATAACTTTGGACAGGATACTCAAGAGAAGGAAAGGAGAAAGAGCCAACAAGTATTGAGCATCTCTCATGGCCAACCACTGTGTTTACATACCATTATCTCACTTAATTCTCACTACAACCCCAGTTGACTCCCTGACTGATGAAAGGAGGCTGGTGCTGCTGACAGCACCGTAAATGATGATGGAACTCCCTAAGCCCACCACTTTTTAAAAAATATGTATTTTTATTGATTTCAGAGAGGAAGGGAGAGGGAGAGAGAGATAGAAACATCAATGATGAGAGAATCATTGTTGCTGCTCCTGCACACCCCCTACTGGGGATGGAGCCTGCAACCCAGGCATGTGCCCTTGGCTAGAATCAAACCTGGGACCCTTCGGTCTGCAGGCCAACACTCCACCCGCTGAGCCAAACCAGCTAGGGCTGCCCACCACTTTAACAAAGAGGTCTTCTATTTCTCCTTGGTGGAGCCACTTTTCATGAATTCACATTTCCCAAAACATATCGTCAACACTTGTTGAGAATCTTATTGTGCCCAGCACTGAAGTGTATTGAGGAGCTCCACAGGAGAGAGCAAGGGTATGAGAGATAGTCTATCTTCTCAGGGACTTGCAACGAGGTAGGGGAACACAACGAACACATAGAGAATTTTTAGAAGACACTGTATAATTCAGGATTGAACTGTGTAGTCTAGATAATATGTACTACAGGAGTTCAGAGACGGGAGATCCATGTAGGCTGCAGAGGAGGCTTTGTGAGAACTAGGGTAAAGACAACGCTCTTTACCTTGCATCTGGGCTAGTCTTTCTTGGCCTTCGCTGTGATTGTGCAATCCTGGTATGAACCTTTCACATAGTTCTGGCATTTTCAGTTTTGAGGCTGCAGTGATGTCCTTCATATCACGTCATCTGAATGCCACTTCATCTTTATTGGTACATTTGGGAGGGGTAAAACCCCAACGGTATGCAAACACCGTCATGGATATTTGCCTAAAGCCATGGGAAGTTTCATGCAAAACCAGTTTCTCAATAGGGCAAATGTTGTGTAAAGGTGTAAGAACTTGAGAAACTAGTTAAAGGCAAAGCCTGTCACAGCAAGAACCAAATTTGAATGGGGACACTTTCCTGTCTGTGTCAGCTATGGTCTGCCTCCAGCCCCTCAACTGCTGAGCCCCCATCCTTAAGCATTTCTCCAACACGTTGGCCCAGAGGCCAAGGACCTTGTCCCGTGTAGCAGGAACTCCTTATCCCTCACCCCCTCATCTGCCCACCTTCAGGTGCCACTCTATCGATAAGAGATTCTAGTTCTGAAAAGTTGTTTCAGAATTCTGGACCCTTTCTCACCCTCACACAACTAAGTGTGTTTCCCTTTTTTCAAATTCTACCCTAAATATAATCAGGGAATGTGATCCCAAGAGATAGTTTGAGTTGATAAGATAGTCTAGTACAGTGGTTGGCAAACTCATTAGTCAACAGAGCCAAATATCAACAGTACAATGATTGAAATTTCTTTTGAGAGCCAAATTTTTTAAACTTAAACTATATAGGTAGGTACATTGTTATTAACTTAATTAGGGTACTCCTAAGGCTTAGGAAGAGCCACACTCAAGGGGCCCAAGAGCCGCGAGCCACAGTTTGCTGACCACAGGTCTAGTAGATTAAATATTCACTGTGTTTACTATGCATTTTGAAACAATGCTAGACTGGTGAACATCTTCCAGACTAGTTGAAGACGTAAAATGAGTACAAAGGAAACAGTACCTGAGTGTACCATATGCTGAATCAGGGGTAACTGGTTTAGAAAAGTGAGAAAACAGTAAGTACGGACAAAAGTTTCATGGAGGCAGGGTTTAGGACAGACTTTAAAGAATGGGAAGAATTTGGATAGGCAGGGAAGAGAAATTATGCCATTCTAGAAAAGAGAAGTACTAGAACCAAAGGCAAGGAAAGTGGAAGATATTTTAATGAAAGTCAAGGTGGTCAGCCTGTCTGGAGGAAGGGTGGCACAGGAATGTGCTTAGCAACAATTAGTAGGAAATGAGATCATATGGATAAGGTGAATTCATCAACAAACTTAGCAAACATTTATTAAGTGCTGATTAGGTCTCTTGCACATAATAATAGTAATAGCTTATGCCTATTACAGCTTACAATGTGCCAGGCATGTATTAAGCATTTTATATACATTATCTCATGTGAATGTCACTACAGACCTAGGAGGTATGCACTGTTATATCTCTGTTTTATAGACGAAAAACACGAAGCCCAGAGAGATTAAGGAACTTGTTCCAGGTCACATGGTTACTGAGTAGAAAAGCCTGGATTTGAACCAAGGGAGTCTGTTCAAATGTGAGTTCTGAGCACATTGCTAACCTGCCTCCACACGTATTTATCTCATTGAATCCTCATAAAATTCCCTATGATGTACATATTATCATCCCCATTTTTCAAAGGGGGATCCAAGAGTGGTTCTGATGAGTTTAAAGCTAGGATCTGAAAGCAGGTCCACTCATTCCACGTTCATTTAACTTTCTGTTACAATATAGCTGCCTGGCAGAAGGTCTTTCCAGAATGGAATCAAATTGGGGGAACTGAACAGTCTGATAAGGTTAAGAAGCCTACATGGTAGGAATAGGGGAGAACTTCAGGTTTTGAACAGATATGACTTGATTAATAAAGATAGCTCTAGGTCTGGCACAGGAACGCCAATCAGAGGAAGAGTGGACACAGCACTAGATGATATTAGAGGTGGTAAGGACCTAGAAATGGGCATGGTGGGGATGGGGGGGGGGGGGAGAAGGGAAGGATGGATACAAGGTATCCATCAGAGTTTTGAAGGAAAATCTGATTGTTCTTAGGGACTGAATGGCATTGAAAGGAGATTAAATCAAGGAAGACTTTGCTTCTTGTCTGAATGACTCAATGAACTATTGACAGGAGCTCAGAGGTTATAAGAGCTGCTGGTTTGTAGCAAAAAAAAAAAAAAGAAGAAGAAGAAGAAGAAGGTTGTTTTTGGACATGTTGAGATATGCTTGGCAGAATCATGACTGGCACATTCTAGAGGAAATGACCAGTACGCAGTCAGGGATGTAGGATTGAAGCTCAAGTAGAGAGAAGAAGCTGTCAGTCATATCTGACAAGTAAGGTATGCAAGATCAGTGAAGGGGAAGACAAGGCTGATCCCAGAAGAAATAGGTTTTTCATTGTCTGAATAAGCCAGAAATCAGAGAACAAAAATGCAGTATAATAAAAGAAAACAGGCCCAAGGGCAAACCACAGGTCTGGACAAGTGGTTAGGGCCGAGGCAGAGATAAAAATTAAAGGGACACAGCAGCAAGTATGATCTCAGCCTGTATCAAGGAGAAATGACCACTGGATAATTTTTTTCCTGTCCTGTTTCTGGCATTTTGGAGTGTTCCTCTATTGCAGAAGCCAAGCCTAACTGATGGGACCCTGCAGTCTGACCCTGCATACTAATCAAGAACTTTGCTAGCAGGGAGCCCACAATCTACATTAGTATAGGTCAGTGATGGCGAACCTTTTGAGTTCCGCATGTCAGCATTTTGAAAAACCCTAACTTAACTCTGGTGCCGTGTCACATATAGAAATTTTTTGATATTTGCAACCATAGTAAAACAAAGATGTATATTTTTGATATTTATTTTATATATTTAAATGCCATTTATCAATGAAAAATCAACCAAAAAAATGAGTTCGCGTGTCACCTCTGACACTCGTGTCATAGGGTCGCCATCACTGGTATAGGGAGATAACTGAATTATCAGAAAAGGCCTCTCCACTGAATTATATATTTAAAAATGGTTACAGTGGTAACATTCATGTTATGTATATTATATCACAATAAAAAAATAAAAGAAAGTCCTCTCCCCTATGGATCCCACAAAAATCTCCAAAAGCCCATCTAATTCAGCATCTCCTGGACTTACCCCTTTTGGTTCAAGATCTTGATTTCCTTGCCCACGCTGGTGACTGTGCTGGTGAGGTGATGCAGGTAGGTAAGAAGCCAGGGATGCCGAAGCTGACCTGGCTCCTGTGTCCCTTCCAATCTGGAAAGAGAATGGGATAGTCAGTTGAGGCTAATGTGCCGTGGATACGCCTCTTCTGGCCTTTCTGCTACCTCTGTCCTCTTTCCAGAACATTGAGAATGTTCACAGCCCCACCCTCTGTGACCTCTTCTACCTGATGAGTTAAGAAAGTGAGACACAGAGCAACTCAGTTAGTACCTGGGAGGGACTTACCTGGGGCAGGAACTTGGGAGTCCTGTGATTTCAGTTCTTGCTTATTGCCCTTCCTCTTAAGATTCTAGGATCCTCCTTCTCACTGGCTTCACAGAGATCACCTCCAAGTCTATATATAATTCCTTTCCTGTTCAGTATATAGTCTGTTCCTAGGTCAGGGATCCTCCATAAACAAGGGCAGCCTAAAGACACCCCGACACTCTTGGAAGTAGCTAGATGGGGTTCCTCATTTTGCAAGTGAGGAAATGGGGCCCTGGGTTGTTGGGTGGCTTGCCTAAGGGCATACACCTGGTTAATTTCAGGACAAGAAGGAAATACAGACTCTCTGATCCACTGTCTAAATCTCTTAGCTAGACAAAGAAATTCCAGTTGAAATATTTGGAATTCTATTTTTTATTAAAGCTTTGCTTTCCCCATGATTGGTCTCTTTTGCTGCATTTTTCTCAAAAGATGTTTAAAATGTCTGAAAATGCCAGCATAGTGGTCCAGAAGAGAATGGTAGCAGCAATGGAGGGAGGAAGCTCACTGGTTACCCACAAAACCATCACAGACTGCCTATTACGCTGTGGCTAAAACTTTGGATCCATGCCCTCCCTCAGCCCATACACAGCAGAGCCTAGTAAGGGGGCCCTGTGTACTAGGGCTTTCTAGTCCTTTCTGTCATTGCCTCATGTTGACCTTGATTTCTGCTTCTCAAATCCTTGATTACCAATGTCAATAGGCAGCTAGTTGGCTTGGGAGGGGCCCTCCATGGCTATGGCAAGACAGAGGAATGACAGTACAGCTCACCATAAACATATGTATCAGGCAAACTTCAAGAAAAACTGGTTGCTCAAGCTTGCCACCTCAAGAAAAATAGTTTTGAGTAAAGCTGGACATGGTGGGAAATACATGTTCTCAAGTTTGTCTCATTGTCATATGTGTGTTGGGGAAGTATTTGTGGGTCACTTCGGCACATAGAAAGATCCCCTCACCCCCTAAGATCAGTCAAGCTATAAAGTCAATGAGATTAAAATGGATTATCTGTTTTCATCAAGCCTATATATCTTTTCTATAGTCATTTCCTGAAAAGGTAGCAATTCAGGTTTAGAACTTTAAAGTCATAGAGACATACACTTAGAAAATCATAGAGCTGTGTGGGACTTGGAAATCATCTCATCCAGCCCCCAATCTTGCAGATGAGGAAACTGAAGCTTCCCATTACTAGGATATTATACTTGTACGAGGCAGCCAAAGATTACACTCATTTCTTTACAAGCCAGAATGGTACTGTTGGCTCCATGGAGCTGGCGGTTAACCTAAAACCCATGGTATTTTTCAGATAAACCACTGCTCAGCTAGATTTTTTTCCCCACACCAGGTTTATACCATTAATTTCCTAAAATTTTGTTTAGGAGTTTATATTTTCCCTTTCCATTCCATTTTGCTAGTTTTAACTCCATATTCCAGTCTGTAATTTAAATTTTATTCTGTGGTAAGCTCTTTAGTATGTTTGGGAAGGGAATGATCACTTGGTAATGTGCACTTTGCAGTGTGCTTGCTATCTCATTCAATAGCTAAATTGTCCTAAAGAAAACGCTACAGACAGTGTTTAATTTGGAATTCCAACCACCTAGCTTTTCAGATTCTCAAGGAAGGGGGATAACTTTTCTCCCTTGTTACATGAAGGAGCTCTAGAATGGGCTTCTCTTCCAAAGGGCAAAAGAATATTCTCAAAGCTCATCTCCTACTGGGAACTCGTGTGCCCGGGGAAATGCAGTGAAAGAAAGGCTACCCTCTAAACTCCAGAGTCCAGCAGTCTTTTTTATGTCCATTTTTATGTAGCACGTAATAGTTAATCTTTATCCAAAGGAAAGGAAAACACTGATTTGAAAAGATTTATGTACCCCTATGTTCATTGTAGCATTATTTATAATAGCAAAGATATGGAAGCAACCTAGGTGTCCATCGATAGATGAATGGATAAAAACAATGTGATATATATATATATATATATGCAAATGGAAATATTTCATTCCTTTTTATTGCTGCAATAAAAAAAAGAATGAAATCTTGCCATTTGCAACAACATGGATGGACCTAGAGGGTATTACACTAAGTAAAATAAGTCAGGCAGAGAAAGACAATTGCTGTATGGTTCCACTTACATGTGGAATCTAACAAAACAGACCAAAAACAGACTCAGTGAAACAGAGACCAAAAGGATGGTTACCAGGAGGGAGGGGGTGGGGAGATGGATGAAAATGGGAAGGGAATATAGTAAAAGATACCATGATAGCCCTGACTGGTTTGGTTCAGTGGATAGAGCGTTGGCCTGCGGACTCAAGGGTCCCAGGTTTGATTCCGGTCAAGGGCATGTACCTTGGTTGCGGGCACATCCCCAGTAGGGGGTGTGCAGGAGGCAGCTGATCGATGTTTCTCTCTCATCGATGTTTCTAACTCTCTAACCCTCTCCCTTACTCTCTGTAAAAACTCAATAAAATATATTTTTAAAAAGTACCGTGATAAGCTTACATGGTGACAGATGATTCTAGAATTAGCAGGGTGATCATGATGTAAGATATAAAATGTCAAACCACTATATTATACATCTGAAATTAATATGACCAATTTAAGATTGTACACCAACTTTAAATTTTTTTAAAAAAAGTTTATCTTTCATTAGCCATGAGAACTGGAGAAGTTGAGAAATTTAAGAGTGGGGAGGGGAAAAAATCTCTTTTGTATTCAAAAGGGTATCTGCTATGTGCAAAAGGAAAGTAAACTTAAGTAATATTTGTGATGACTTTATATATTGTAAATAGCCAGAAACCTAGGCACTACCCCTGACTTCTTCCTCTCCTTCATATCCCATATTTAATAATAAGAATGGCTAACATTTATCAGATACTTACTATGTGCCAGATACTGTGCTATGGACTTTATAAGCCTATTTAATCCTTACTAGAGGTATTATGATTTTAACAGATGAGAAGACTGGCACATTAAGAGATTAAATTACTTACTTGAACTCATATATCTAGGAATGGTGGGGCCAAATTCACACCCAGGTTATTGTGACTCCAGAGCCCAAAAGTTTACCCACCACTAGTTTAGTCCAGGGTCTCTGGGAGAGCCATCAGAGCCTTATGAATTGAAAGAAGGCAGGAAGGCAGGAAGGCAGGAAGGCAGGAAGGCACGAAGGGAGGAAGGGAGGAAGGGAGGGGGGAGGAAGGTCAGGGAGGGAAGGAGGCAGGGGAGAGGAGGGGGGAGAGAGGGAGGGGAGGGGAGGGCGATCAGAAGGGAGGGGAGGGGAGGAGGGGGGGAGGAGGGAAGGGGAGAGAGGGAGGTCGGTCCATTGAATGGAAGAGTCTTAAACTACTAGTATAGTGAAGTTCTAAGAAAGTTCACAATGCTGATAAAACATCTTAGAACTAGCCCAGCGGGCATGGCTCAGTGCTTGAGCATGGATCTATGAACCAGGAGGTCACGGTTTGATTCCTGATCAAGGCACATGCTGGGTTGCAGGCTCTATCCCCAGTGTGGGGCATGCAGGAGGCAGTTGATCAATGATTCTCTCTCATCATTGATGTTTCTATCTCTCTCTTCCTCACCTTGTCTGAAATCAATAAAAATATATTTTTTAAAAATCTTAGAACTAAATTTGCCCATCAAAGAAGTCCCACGTTTCCAGGATGGGCTTGCCTTAGTATCCTTCCCACACTTGGTCATGAAGCAGCCTGCAGGGAGCATGACCTTAGCAAGAAGCAGTGATGGGTTAACAGTCAGTTGTGATCCTTTCTGAGATGTCCATTGTCAATGCTGCCACATTATGCCACACTCTCTCTTCAAACAAATCTGCTGGGTTTTTTCTTCAGCAGATGTATTTACTGCCCTAGTTCAAGCCTCTGTCATTGCTCACCTAGACAATTCCAATCATACTTTAACTTATTTCCCTACTTCCAGTCTCAATACTCTTAAAACTATTTCCTGCAACATACCAGGACAATCTTTCCAATATATAAATCCAGCTATGAATATATCTGAAGAAGCCTGAAACACTAATTGAAAAGAAAATGCACCCTATGTTCATTGCAGCATTATTTACAATAGCCAAGATTTGGAAGCAGCCCAAGGGCCCATCTCTGGAGATCAGTGGATAAAAACCCTGTGTTACATTTACACAATGGACTACTACTCAGCTGTAAAAAAGAAGGAAATCTTACCTTTTGCAACAGTATGGATGGACCTGAAGAGTATTATGCTCAGTGAAATATAAAGACAAATACCATGATTTCACATATTATATGTGGAATCTAATGAACAAAACAAACAAAATAGAAACAGACTCATAGATACAGCTGTCAGAGGGGAGGGTGTTGGGGACTGGGTGAAAAAGGTAAAGAGATTAAGGGGAGAAAAACAAAACTCATTGACAACAGTTTGGTGATTACCAGAGGGAAAGGGGCATGGAGGGAGGTTGGAGAGGGTAAAGGAGGAATAAATGGTGATGGAAGGAGGCTTGACTTGGGGTGATGAACACACAATACAATGTACAGATGATGTATTATAGAACTGTACACCTGAAACCTGTATAATTTTATTAACCAATGTTACCCCAATAAATTCAATATAAATAAATAAATAAATCCAGCCGTGTCCTAACCCAGTGTAAGAAGCTAGGTGGAGACTTCATTTTGTCAATCTTACAAAAGGTATAATGATCCTCTAGCATACAAAGGACCACAGTCTAATCATTAATTAATTAATGGCTCATTAATTAATTAGGTTAATTTCAAAATTGCCTTATATTCTTTTTGGCGAGGTCATCATTATGATATGTATATAGGGGGTTATGTCAGTGACTATATG